GTGGACAGGGAAGGAAGTGTTCCCTTCTGTCCCTTTGATAAAATTGAAACCTCCACCTTTTCACTTGAAAAGTGAATAACATGTGGTTGCTGCTGTAGTGCCTAGGCCTTAAGCCTCCCTAAACTTAAGGAGGCTTACTCACACTGAAACGCTCATAGTACAGCCCATCCCAAGCAGAGATGTCTCCTGAATACTGCATTTTTGATACTTGAAATAAATTCCTGTCTATTTGATACAGGCTGAAAATATTTCTCTGTAAATACTGGAGTGCATTATTATTATTATTATTATTATTATTATTATTATTATTATTATTATTAATTAAATTTGTATCCTGTCCTTCCTCTGAAGATCACAGGGTGGTTCTCAAGATAAAAATGCAAAATGAGAACACAAAATACATAATAAAATAAAAACAAACCAATAACCACCACCCCCAGACACATTTAAAAGGCCATTGAAGGTTAATCAGCCAAAGGTTACGTTTTCGCCTGCTGCTTAAAGATAGGTGCCAGGCAAGCCTCCCTGGGAAGAACATAACACAAACCGGGAGCCACCACAGAAAAGACTCTGTCTCTTGTTGCTACCCTCCAGACCTCTCATGGAAGCAGCGCACGAAGAAGGGCCTCAGGTGGTGATTGCAGGGCTTGGGTTGGTTCACATGGAGAGAAACGCTCCTTGAGATATTGTGGTCCCGAGTCGTTTAAGACTTGTGCCTGATGTGTATCTAGGGAGGTATGCAGAAGGCCCTGCCATTTAACCTGGAAAGGAAGCTCTACTACTTCATGCCAAGTATACTAAAAGGGGCCCTAATTACCCAGTGCTTCTTTGGCGATCACTCGTAGCTGAGTAGGATTGTCTTCCATAAACACGGTTTTAACAATGAGTCTGTAAGTGACTGTGGAGGCCAATTCTGGATCCACATGTCCTTCCACAGTGGGGACATTGGTTTCTAGGTGGGAGTTGATCATGGTGTGGATTTGCCAAGTGTGCCTTCCTCTTAGCACGTTTCTCCCTTGCGTCCTGAGTTCGAGTGTCTTCAAAGCCCATGACACCTTTGGTAAAGACTGTTCTCCAATTGGAGCGCTCGCAAGTGTTTCCCAATTGTTGGTGTTTATACTACATTTTTAAAAAATTGCCTTAAGAAAAGTCTTTAAACCTCTTTTGTTGACCACCAGCATTACGCTTTCCATTTTTAAGTTCAGAATAGAGTAGTTGCTTTGGAAGACGATAATCAGGCATCTGCACAATATGACCAGTCCAACGAAGTTGGTGTTGAAGAACCATTGCTTCAACACTGGTGATCTTTACTTCTTCTAGTACACTGGTATTAGTTTGCCTGTCTTCCCAAGTGATGTGTAAATTTTTTCAGAGACACCGTTGATGGAATCTTTCAAGGAGTTGGAGATGGCGTTTATAAGTGGTTCATGTTTCACAAGCATTCAGTAAGGTTGGTAGTACAATAGCTTTGTAAACAAGCATTTTGGTTTCCCTGCGAATGTCCCGGTCCTCAGTACCTTGTTTTACTGCGGACTTCTGTTTCATACTTGCCTCAGCCATTAAGAATACTGAATGGGGGGTGGGTGGGTTTGTAGCTCTTCAGGTTCATGAATGTGTATATAAGTGTGTGTGACCACCTATGTTTAGGGCAGGGATAAGAAGGGCCAGTGGAACTGCGGTTGATGTTGCCGAGCCAGCAAGGCCAATGGTCAGGGATGATGGGGATTGTAGTCCACCAGCACCCAGAGGGTTACAGGCTCCTTATCCCTGCTATTGGGCATAAGCGGCACACTTTGGCTGTCTCTGCACCACCACATTGTCCTGGCATAGCTGTGAGTTGAGTCATAGAATTGTGGAGTTTGAAGGGATCCAAAGGGTCGTCTGGTCCAACAACCAGTGCATGGCCACCCCACCCAGTCTACATTAATCTGCAGATACTCTTTGCCACCAACTTTGCAGGGGCAGTCCAAGTGGCAAAACATTAAACCAGTTTTGCTGCTGGCAATATACAGAGCTACGTGGGGGAAACTAACCATGTAGCACTTCTTGGCATATGGTGGCAGCTGGACTTTGTCGCAGTGCAGCTGAAAACAATATGTATATTTATATTCTTAATGTAGCAGATTGAGAAGAAAGGCATAGACGTATGTAAAGGTAGCCCTAGATGCGTCATTGCATTGTTGATGATTCACTGATAACTATAATTGCTGCAGCAATTATGAAACAGCGCACTGTGGGTTCTGACTTCGCTAAAAGATATTGTTCCCAAAGCTTTTGGTAATAGCAGCATATTCCGGCTCTTACCCATAAGGAATTATTTGCTGCTAATGGCATGTCCGGGGTAGATGGTTTCTTTTCATAACTCTTCAGAAGCAGATGGTTAGTTACCTTCCTGGGAACAGACTGTGCAAGTCGATAACCCTTTGTTGTGTAATTCATTGTTCAGCTGCAGGTTGAAGTACATGTGTCTTAGAGTAGATGCTTTTAGGTGACCGACTTACACCGGAAAATAAATCTATAGGGCAAATCGAGAAGAGCCACTTCACTTGTTGCGTTTTGGTTACATGAAAATAGTTCACAATGCAGAAGTGATATGTGTTTTGTCTCCCAGCCATCTTCACATAGGTAGAAAACTGTGAAGCAGTCCTGACATGATGGATTAAATAACTGAAACTGAACAAGATGCATTTACACCAGTGTGTCCTGTAGAAGAGCAGCTTCTGTGCTCTTGTAGCATTTCCCTGCCTTGGTCCTTTGTCTGACTCCCATTCTGTTAGCATCAGAAGAAGCTGTTCCTGCCCCCTTCCCACCAGATATAGCTGAAGGCATTGTGTCCAAGGTGCATAGCTCTGCCTTGGTGTCAGGCCTTGAGCTTCAAAATTGGTTTGGAGCTAGGTGGGTCTGTTGGCAGGTCCAGGCTCATATATTACCTATTAGCATTAGGTTTGCAAATTATTAGTTTTGCATACCAGAGAAATAAACAGCATTCTAAAAGTAGAACAGCAACAACCATACACATAGGAAAGTACTATCACATGAAGGCTCAATGAATTGAGTAAATTGCCCTTTCAGTTCTTTTCCCTTGGAGAGTTGCTTCATCTTCTGGTAGCTGCTACTTCTGCTTCCTCTGATGTTCTGGCTTAGGTGGACTAAAGTGCCTCGCCTTGCTTCTCATCAACCAGATGATCCTCAATTCAAATGACACAATTATGTTATAGATACAGGTCATACCTGTGCTAGGCAACTTGCTGCAGCCTATTGTGATCATTCCTATGATCAAGTGATTCAAGATCTTGGTAACAACATGTACTGGTGCTGCTTGTTTAGAGATAAAGTATCCTTTAAAAATCTATCTGCTTCTTATGTTGTGAGCAATTCCTGCAGTTAGAAAAACCCCTAAAACTTAATCTAAATCTGCCTTCTAGTAGTTAAAACCCTGCTGCTTGTCAATGGGTAAGATGGTGGGGTTTGCCCTTCTTTTCGATACCTTGCTAATAACTGGAATTTTGTCTAATTTTGTCCAGTTTTCTAATCTTCTGCTTTCCCCCTTCCCCTTGCCTCTAAGTGAAAAATGGAGTCCTTGCACCTAGTCCAGGGTTGCCATCAAATGCAGGTGCCAAGTTTCCTGCTGTGACTATATCTTTGGTTATAACCGACACCTGTCCATCCCTGATCTAGTACATAGCAAAGAGAATTTGGAGGTAGCAGGAGTGTCTAACGCTTGGGGATGGGGAGGAAAGAGAAGGAAAGGCACCTATCCCTTGTGTGCCTCTGTGTATCAGGTTCTGGAGGAAAGGTGAGTCTTGTAACTAATCTCTTGGGGTTTTAGAGTTGGTTGGAAGCAGAAGTAGTTTCAATGATTCCAAGTACTTCTGAACCTTGGTGGAGAAATTGAGAGTTGTGACACCTCCCTGAGGGCTGCCTGAGAACTTAAGGGGAAGAAGGGTCATACCACAAATAATTGATGGTTACTATGGCCAGCAAAAGAAGAAAGGGGAAATATCCTGGCCTGTTTCTTGTAGTTCTGTTTGATTCCCTTCTCTGATAAAATCAGCATTGTGTTTTGATGTACAGAACTGCACACAGGGCTCCAGGCAGCATGGTATGCAGCCTGACCAGGGGTGGTTAATAGTACTTCCTGTCTCTTGACAGAATTCCTGTTAATACATCCAAACATATGTTTGGGTTCGGTTTTACACCGTGCCCCCTAAACTGTAGTGTTCACAATATCGCAATGGCGGTCCTTTGCAAGTTCAGCTAATGTTTATTAGGTACTTTGTACATGCTCATTTTGGTCCTTGTAGTTGTGCTTCACTTTGGTTCTTCCTGTTTGGCTTGATGTCTTGAATGTTTAACTTAACTGCTAAAGATGTTTGCAGGTCCTTCCCAGCTTAATATTGCCCATTAATTTGATAAGCACACTGCCCAAGCAATTATTCAAGTAATTAAATATACTGAAGAGTGCTGCACTTTGCAGTGACCTCTATGGGATATTTATGAATACTTCTAGATAGAAAATGTTTCTTCTCAGCCAGCTCATGTTACTTGTTTCTCTAACATAAGGAGTACAAGTAGTTCTGTTAATGCTCAAATACCTGGGTCATCTCCTCATTGTGACTGGCAGGCTACACTGACAGGAAATTTTTTATTTATTAAATGTATTTCCTGTACCTTCCTTCAAAGTAGCCCAGGGCAGCAAGCATGTCTATACTAAAACAATTTCTTTAATACTTATAAAAAACAGTCAAAAATCCTAAAAAACAATCACCTACTCACAAAACTAAAAATTTCAGGGTTGCCAGGGACAGAACTTTCAACCATCAAATGCCTGAGAAAAAGGGAATGTTTAAATTTCTTTTAAAAGTTACTAGTGAATATAAATTAGAAGCTAGAGCTGTGCTGGAAGATGGTGACATGAGATTGTTGAAAAATTCTGTTGTGTTGAACGTCAGAAAGGAGAATTATCCTAACTAGCTTACTCCTGTTTTTATCTTTTGTAGAACTGGTGAGCCTGGTTGAGCTGATGGCATCTGCTGCTGAGATTTGTTATCACACCATGACGACCAGAATATCAGAGGTTGGGGAATTGTCCTTGGAGCCTTTGATTACTTGCAAACTATGCCTGTCTGAATATTCACTGGATAAGATGACGACTCTCCAGGATTGCAGCTGCATCTTTTGTACATCGGTAAGTGTTGACCGTGACTTAAGTAATAGTAAGGAACAGTGTTGAGAGCAGTGATGTTGGAGCAATCTGTGAAAAACAGGTTGCCAACTGAATTTCCTTCCTCCTGGCAATGAAAGTTTTTTTGCCTTAACTCTCTACAATGAAAGTGTTTCTCCCCCCCCCACAACATGTACACATTATACATAAATAGAAAAGTAAATTGTTTTGCAGTGTACCTTATCTGCATATTCTTCCTGCTGCAGTCCTGACAGACACCTAAATGCTTTTCTTTTTTCTGAAGTGGTGTTTGACTTTGTGTGTGTATCTAAATTGTTTGTTATGCCCAGGTGTAAATATGTATAAAATAAACCCATTTCTTAAAGATGCAACAGTCTCTGCTGCGCCTTGACTCCCAACGGAAACATTATCTGGATAAGCTCCTTGTTACCACTCGGCAGAGATTGGGGGTGGTGTGCAATCTTCGTAACAGTATTTAAGATGCCCACAGGAATTCATACAACCCAAGACACAAAGAGAAGTTATCAGCAGGGTTCTAAACTGTCCTTTCCTTATGCCTGAGGTAGGATTACAGTGGTACCTTGGTTCTCAAACTTGATCCATTCCGGGAGTCCATTCGACTCCCAAAACCATTCAAAAACCAAGGTGCGGCTTCTGAGTGGCTGCAGGTGCTTCCTGCACTCAAGCAGAAGCCGCGTCGGACGTTCGGCTTCCAAAAAACATTTGCAAACTGCAACACTTACTTACAGGTTTGCGGTGTTGGGGAGCCGATTTGTTCGACAACTAAGCCGTTTGAGAACCAAGATTACCACTGTAATTGATACTGAGTTATAGATTCAAGGGAGTGAAACTGTAGGCCTAACCCTGCTTACTTGGGAGTAATTGAATTCACTGGGACTTACTAGACATGGTTAGAGTTGCAGCCAAACATGGCCTCGTGATGGGTCACTGGCCACTTCATTAGCAGTTTTTAAAGGCACTTTGTTGTTTTCACTGTAAAAGACTAACAGGGCTCCCTCTCTGGAAATTCATTAACTTTGAAGGGAGCATCCAGGGAAGGTAATTGATTTGTACATATCTGTTGATGGCTAAGACATACATGCTGGGATGGCTGTCCTACAGTTTTATTAACCTTTCTTTAAAGGCTAACTTTTCTGCTTTGCAGGGCTAGAGTGAATATCTTTCCTCCATTTTTTTTTTTTTAAAGTTCTGGGAACAGGCTCTCCTGCACCACCATGTTACATAGGGATGAAGTACTATGTTAGCTATGTTGGGTTTAAGAGCATTGGCACTAAAGTCCCCAGTTAGACTCGTTGTTTGGAAAAACACCAGGACATAGTAAATCTATGTCACCAAGTTCAAAAGTCGTTCACTATGCAAGGATAAGCGGGTGCACCATATTGTGGAGACTTTATTGCATCGGGTGTGATGATAAGGATTACTGCAATTTCCCAGAGCGATATAGGTTTGCTGTCTAAAGTACACAGCGCGCTGTTTGTTTTACTCAGTAAATATTAGTGTACTAACCTTTAGCTTTGTGATTAGGAAGTGGTCTAAGAATAGTTTGTCAGCATCTGTACATTAAGAAAAGAATTTAAATATCAGTAGTTTCCAATCTCTCTTGCCTAGAGTACCAGGGGTGCAAACTTGAATAAGATATTGTGGGAGCCCAGGTAAGCCCCACTTTGCATAGTTGATCACTTGACACAGTGCACACACACCATTTGAATGGGAATGCCCATCAACTTTGTGGGAGCCTGGCCCCCTCAAATATTTTATTGTGGGGGCCGAAGCCCCCATGGCCCCAAGAGTTGGCTCCTATGTACAGTACTAATCATCTAGCATGGTGACAGAGTCCAGTCTGTACATTCTAGCCCTGAGTGCACTCCATGGCACATATTATACTACCAACTAAGTGATTGGCACCTGCAAGGTATCTGCTGGAAAGTTTGGTGTGACACCTGTCACTGCATGAAAAGGTGATCAGAGAGAACCTATAATCGGCACTATTTTTCTAGAAAAAGAGGTGCTGGAAGTCACCACGAACACCTCCCTCTCTCTCTCAGAATGGCAATGGCGCCCTCCTGAGTGGTGCCAGAACTGAGTTCCAGCAAGTTCCAGCTGAAAAAAGCCTTGCCTGTAATATAGGCTCAATGTTAGCAGCATTTCCTACTATTGATAGAGATTTCTATGCTTTTTCTTAACTCTGTTACTGTGTCTGTGACTAGCTTTTAACCACTCCCCACTAAAACAAACAGACAAGCAAACACAAACAAACTGATATCTGATACCATATGATAAAGTTATGATTGCCACATCATTCCTAGTCTTCTTGTCTTTACTCTTCTGCTGAGGAAGAAGAAGAAGAGGGGTTTGGATTTGATATCCCACTTTATCACTACCCTAAGGAACGGCTAACAATCTCCTTTCCCTTCCACCCCCACAACAAACACTCTGTGAGGTAAGTGGGGCTGAGAGACTTCAGAGAAGTGTGACTAGCCCAAGGTTACCCAGCAGCTGCATGTGGAGGAGCGGAGACGCGAACCCGGTTCACCAGATTCTTAACCACTACACCACACTGGCTCTAGGAAACTAGGTTGATCTCAGGGTTGCATAGTTTGAGTCAAGCCTTCTTTCTGGGGCTTCCAACATCTCCCTGTAACACCTGTGTGTGAAGTCAGCAAGTGGAACAAAAGCACTGTTCCACATGAGTCATCATATTGTTGCATGCCAATCTCCAAGCGTTGCAACATTCCAGGCACAGTGGAGACTATGGTGTCTTTATGATATATGGTTTATTTACACATATATGATATGCAACCTGAATTGAGGAGGAAGAGTACAAACAATTATTATTATAGTATAATTAGTAGTAGTAGTAGTATAATTAGTAGTAGTAGTAGTAGTAGTAGTACCATTATCTGATTTCTGTGTTTCACTGCCTGTATGCATACTTTAATAATAATAATATCCCAGGAAGTGTGCAAGAATTCAGATGGTGGTGGTAATAATAATAATGTTTGCCCTCTTCCTCCTCATTTCAGATGGTTTAGCTCATTTTTATGCCATATGGACAACTGGGTCTTGATTGGCAGATATTGGGGGTGGGGAGGATGCAGTTTTGGGGCTTTGTAGGTCTGGCCATGGGTGTAGCCGTGGGGGGGGCAGTTGCCCCCCTAAATCCTCAAAAACTATTGAAAAGCAATAAAAATACTAAATTAACCTCAGTTTTGCCCCTCCAGCAGAAGCCTGCCCCCCTCAACAAAAGCCTGCCCCCCATAATGCCCTCTTATGGGGGGGTTTACCCATGAGCTCTCCCCAAAAGCTCAACTTTTAGGGGTGATCTCCCCTAAAACAACTTTTTTGCCCCCCATGGATCCAGCCCACTGATAACAACACTTAGAACCTTTCTTAGCATCTTAGAAAATTTTAACCTTGAGATATTTCTCTTCTTTCCCTGGTAGAAATTTCTAGTGTATTTGCAAGTGTGGGTAGCAAGTTACAGCTCAAATCCTCTAATCTTAAAATTGCGTTTGTGAATATGTTTTTAAATATAACTTTATTAAATTTTCTGTTTTACAATTTCAAATAAACATTTTACAAAGCATTTGTGAATCTGTTTTGATAAAGGTGAGTAACATTTGTCATTTTCTCCTCACTTGCTTGGTCATCATCCACCAAGTTGTGGATTTTTACCCCAAGAAAGAAAAGAAAAAAGGAGCCCTTTCTACAGAAAGTTGATGCACGCCATTAGCTTGTTTTTGATGCATTTCCTCCATCTAGGTTTTGTTGTTGTGTTTTGAAGATTGCTTTAGGAAAGCCTTGTTTACCACTTTCTGAGGAAATCATTTGCAGAAGTAAAACTGCTGCAACAATATGTGGTTTGGGGTATTGAGACACCCCCTCGATTGCCACATACTTGAGGGCAATGTGAAGCAAGGCAGTTGGATTTTGTATATCACCTGGTTGTGTAGTTAAAATAGAGGATTAAACTCTGGCCTTCCCATTCCAATGTTTCTGATTTCAGCATGCACATCCCATAATGACAAGGCAGCTGGCATAGGCAGCTCTGCTTTCTTTGAACATATATTTGCTACTTCATACTGTGGGGGGTGGGTCAGTAGTTGTCAGCAAAGGTATTGATATTCAGCTTCATCCTACCATTCCTGGCAAAGGTCATTTGTGAGGAGTGGTTGTAGGAATCATTATTAAAATTTGTATATGGCCCTTCACCTGTATATCTCACGGGAGTGGGGTTCACAGCATAAAAATACAAGATAAAAACACAAAATGCATAATAAAAGCAAGAGAACAAACCAAACCAATAACCCCGTCCCACAAATGCATTTAAAAGACAGCTAAAGGTCTGGTTGAAGAGGAACATTTTCACCTAGTGCTTAAAGATATGTAATGAGAGCGTCAGGCTAACCTCCCTAGGGGAGTAGCTGGGGAAACCCAGCCAGATGCACAGTAATAATAATAATAAATAATACAAAAAGGGGGAGCCTTCAGAAAAGGCCGTACTCATGTTGCCACCCACCAGACATCTCATGGAGGAGGCCCATGGAGAAGGGCCTCACATGATGATCTAAGCGTCTGGGTTGGTTCATATGAATACTCCTTGAGGTATTGCGGTCCTGAGCTGTCTAAGGATCATTGTGGCCGATGGTCAAGGATGACAGAGATTTCCGTCCAGTAACACCTGGAGAGTCAAAGGTTCCCCATTCCTGTTTTTTCAGGCATGTATATGGTCATCTTGAAAGGGACGCGGGTGGCGCTGTGGGTTAAACCACAGAGCCTAGGACTTGCCAATCAGAAGGTCGGCGGTTCAAATCCCTGTGACGGGTGAGCTCCCGTTGCCCGTTGCTCCTGCCAATGTAGCAGTTCAAAAAGCATGTCCAAGTGAAAGTAGATGAATAGGTACCGCTCCGGCGGGCAGGTAAACGGTGTTTCCGTGCGCTGCTCTGGTTTGCCAGAAGCGGCTTAGTCATGCTGGCCACATG